AGGCCTCCAAATCCGGCAAACCGCTGGCAGCACAAGCCTGGATAAAGCCCCACACACGGCAGCCATGGAGCCTCACCTTCTCGTTGTAGATCTCCCCTCGCAGCACCTCAGGCGCCATCCAGTATGGGGAGCCCACCACGGCCAGTGGCTCCTTCTCACCGCCCTCGCTGGAAGACATGGTGGGACATCAGGGGCTGCCCACACAGTTCCCTGTCCCTGTCCAACCTCCCATCTTCCCACTGGGGCAGCCCAAATCACCATCTCCATCTCCATCTCCCTTCCTGGGCTAATCCTCCTCCATGTACCCCACAAACTCATCTCTGCCCATCCACACCATCCCCTCCTAGCCAACCCCAAATGTGTCCATCTGCCCCATGACTCCCCACTGCCAGGGACCACCCCCACAGCCCCCCATCCCTGCCCTTCTAGCTGCATCCTGAAAGTCCATCCCTCCCCAGCTCCTGCTCCAAGTGGGCTGGAAACCCCCCAATTCCAAGGATGGGGACGGACGGGTGGACGCTGCCCACGCACCTATAGGTGGGGATCTTCTCCGCCAAGCCGAAGTCACCCACTACAGCTGTGTAGCCATTGGCCTCGCAGCGCACCAGGCAGTTCTGGGGGCACAGGAGGACCCCTGTCACACCAACTGCACCAGCCCTGCCTCACTGGCCACCGCTCCTGGGATGCCCCAGCACAGTGCAGCCTCCTGCTCCCCAGCTGGCCATGCTTGGGGCAGCAACGTGGGTATGGGATGAGGGCAACGGGATGCCTTGGAGCATCCCATACCTTGGAGGTGAGGTCACGGTGGAAGATGCCCTTGGAGTGCAGGTAGCGCAAGCCACGGGCGATGTCGAGGGCCAGCTTGACACGCATGGACCAGGAGAGGGGCACAGGGCTGTCCAGCAGCTGCTCCAGGTTCCCACCGTTGATGTACTGATAGGAAGAGCCGGGCCATTGCATCACTGTGCCCCCCCTCCCTTCCACAGTGCTGGATGCTCACCTCTTATCCCAACTCATCCCCCAACCACCCCACGGCACAGCCCCCCAGTAGACCTTGCCCGGCACATGTGCCACGGGCTGAGAAAGTGTCCCCATAGCCATCGCTGTCCCCTCCCCAGGCCTGCAGGAACCCTGAGACTCACGGCCATTGCCCCGCTCTCACCTCCGTCAGCGCGTGCAGCTGTCCCTCGTGCACGCACACCCCCATGAACCTGTGAGACAGAGGGGTCCAGAGTGTGGCTGCAGCAGGGACCAGCCCCAGGAGCTCATCCAGCACCAGCAGTAGCCCCAACCCTCCCCAGGTTAGAGAAAAGGGGGGCAACGGGGATGGCAGCGGGGGAACAGGTCCTACCTGAGGATGTTGGGGTGCGAGAGGCGGTTCATCAGCTGCACCTCCCGCAGCATGTTGCCCCGGTTGCTGGTCAGCTTGTTCATCTTCAGCACCATGATCTGCCCTGACTGGCGGTGCCGCACCTGGAGGGGGGTGCAGGGGAGGCTGAGTCCCAGTGTCCCCGCAGCCCCCCTTGGGCACCAGCCTGCACCTGGTACCCACCCCAGCCCAAGAGGTAGGAGCTGTGCACCCCACGCACCCGAGGCATGGGGCACCCTAGGGACTGCTAGGGGAGCTCTCCAGGCACAGCAGCACCCCAAGGACCCCCAGTGTCGATGGCGCACACCCCCATCCGCCCCAGGGCACCCTGCTTGTCGTGCTCCCCCCACCACGCTAC